TGTCAGCTGCCAGACGAGGCTCGTCACGCATCCTCGTCTGGACGCCAGAAAAGGCAGAAGAGGCGCGCTGGTAGCCCCACCAGACCTCCGGGCACCAGAAGACGTTAGGAGGGTGCAGGGAGAGTTTGCGCGAAATGCAGAGGCAGATGCGCGGGTGAGTCGAGTGTGCCGACACGAACAGAATATAGCAGTATAGGGTCCGGACAGGAATCGCACGCGATCGTGCCGTGACGGGTGCGATCGAGAGACCCTGCAGGCACTTCGTCGCTCAGACGTCGTCCGAGGTCCGCCTTGTCCCAACCACCGACTTGGCCCACGCAGCCCTCACCTTCCCGAATCGATCGCTTCGCATTTGTTCTCTGTCCACTCGGGCCGCCTGCCCGCCTTCGCCATTGAGTGGAGCGGCGCGAGCAGCGTCTTCCCTCCCCAGTTGCTCAGCGCTACATCCGTGCGAGTCGTCCGGCTCTCTTACCCACCCTCATTGGCATCATCCGCACCCGCACCATCCGATGCGCTCCTAGCTACATCAGAGCCCTGCACCCAGCATCTGGAACATATTTGGATCTGATGAGGCCGCACACCGCTGGATCCTATCGCGCTGAGTCTACTCAAGTATGTAGAACTGTAATATATAATCTCAATACGACGTCGTGTAGACGGAGGACTAATGTATGTACCTGTAATATATAACTAGAGAGCTGTAAGTAATAGATCGCGTAGAATGAAGGACATACGCACTCTCAACCCGACGTCGTGAGACGGAGAACTGAGGTACGCGGGCGACGATGCAAAACGTATCGTACCGCGAGTTACCTTGTTTAGAAGGACGGTAAACAAGATAAGGAACGAGTAGACTAAGGAGCTAATAGTGTCCGTTTGTATTACTGACTTCACAATCCATTGCCTTCTACACAGCAGCGTTGCACTGGCTTGGTGGCGCCTGAAGGCACTACATGTTGCGAGCCTGGTATTGTTCAATCGTCATCCACCTGCAGAGATATTGGATATTTGTTTTAGATGTGGACGGCAATCGACGCCACGACGGAGTGATCGAGCGGGTATGTGGTGCGCGGAGGCAAATCGGAGTAGGGCGCTGCGATCATCTCTGTGCTGAGTAAGTCGGTGA